CCCCAAGAAACATATGTAATGAACCATAAAAAAGAAACAATTTAGTGAAGAGCGTGGCGGCTTTGTTTATTTCATTCATCGCGGCTGCGGGCACCGTGAATTACACTAACGCAGCGGTTGCTCATTGTCTGTCTGTGTTGGGGTTTCCCATTCGTAAAACAGCTGTTGAAGTTCGGCTCGAACGACGTCGTTGCGCACCGGAGCAGCTCAGTCTGGTGGTCATCCGTAAGGGTCGCGCGCTGTTTTGACTTCACCGCTGTCATTGTTGAGAACACAGCCTCGCAACAGTATGTTGATCCAAATATGGAGAGGAACTTCTGGCCCGCGAGGTTGACGTGGGGATACCTTGCTTCAGGCACCTGCCCCCAGAATACTGCAATTTTCTGAGACTGCAGGAACGTCTTCAGCCATTCGTATTCTTGTAGTTCAAGCAGTTCCAGTTCGAAGGCTCCTACATCTCCTGCCAAGTTTTTCATTGTTGGACAGTCGACACTCAGCACATCAACCATTAAAGGGTTCATCAGAAGGGCAAAACAAGGCTTGAGGTGGTGCATATCTTTGAACCAAGAATGAAAGTCCCTCTGGAGTTCCTCGAGCTTTACGAAATATTCCCTTAGCTTAGCATCGATCAGTTCAAACTCAGGTTCTGCATCCAGCATGCTCTTCAGCCGTGGGAAGTGGATCAGGCGCTTTGTTTTCAGGTCGTTCTGAAAAAAAACGTTTTAGCTTATTTTGGAAGCTGAAGACCGTTTGGGCGAATTCCGATACTATTTTTCTTTACCTTGCAGCGACATGTTTAGAGTTTTATGCTGAACTACGTCAGTGAGGTAACCTAAATCAACACACCAACCTGCCTCATGAAGTTCAAGACATGGCTTCTCTTTCGCCTCCAGAAAAGCTTGAATTGGCTTCAAGAAATGTACAAACCTTGATAGTACGTTGCTCATTAACAGCCAGCGTACCACACAAAAAAAAAAAAAAAAACGAAACGTCGTTGGGCGCTTCATGAAGTTCCAGTTCTTCGAGGAAGTTTCTGAATTGCCGGTGGGTTTTTGCATTTGATCGTATGCAGTTGACGACTCGAAGGACGGTGATTATAAAGTCTTTGTAGCTAAAGTGCTTCGCCACCAGCTGCTCGCGATAGATACTGCAATGGATTGTGAGAAAATCTGGAATGCTGTGGTCGCTCCGCAGAAGACCTACCAAGCCCACATTCTTACCAACCATAGCAGGTGCACCATCAGTGAGCGACAAGTTTCTGAAGAGGAACGTCGAATCCTCTAACGTTGTTAATTCTGCATTCTTAATGTCAACAGCACGGATGGTTTCCTTGAGGGCAAACATGTCAAGAAGCTCTTCTCGCACGCTTTCGCGGATGAAACATAACGAACGAAGATTGCAGGCTGTGGCTCGTCTTGTATATCCGTAGATTCATCAAGGGCTAAGCTGAATGCTTTACAGCTGTTTAGGCCCTCTTGAAGCTTGTCGACGACGTCGGCCCTTAGCTGTGAAATGCGCCTTTCGACCGAATGTTCTGAAACTGTGACTTGGTTGACCAACCTTTGAAGATTCTTGTTGTTTGGATCCAACAATGCCACGACGTCGGAGATGTTGGTCTTCACAAATTCTCCTTCCGAGTAAGCTCGGTTGGTACGAGCAATGTTCCACGCGATTGCGAAGCTTGCTTCGGCTGCTACGTCAGATTCCTTGCTAAAGGTCTTCATCGAGGACTGCTGATTCTGAAGTCGCGATTCGAGCTGGGCCAGTTTGACTTTTCTAAACTCAGATGAAGCTGGATAGTCCCGAGAGAAGGTTTCGTGATTGGTCTCAGAATGCCGTCGAACATTGCTCGCCTTGTGGATAAAAATCGCTACATTACAGATGAGGCAGAGGGGTTTACCGTTTTTCTCAGTGAAAGCGAAATCTTCCTCCCACTCAGGAAGGGATGTTCGATGTTCATTTTCGTAC